CAAGCGGCTTTTGGAGCGATGGCTTCTTCCTCACTGAGCGGCCTTTCAATATCTGGACATCTTCATTTGGGAGTTATTATTCTTGCATTTAGCAAGTAAAAATCGTTTTGGTTATCTGAACTGCCCTACAATAAAAAAGTGTCAATATAAAAATATTCAAATGTATGAAGGCGACAAGTTCTCATATGTTGAATAAGTTATTTATTAAATGACATATGCATAAAAAATATAAATTGTCAGTTTTCCCAGAATATATTTTTCTTACAAAACATAGTGGGGTATATTACAACTAGGTCAACTAAGTCTTTCTTTTCATATAAATAAAATAGAAACTAAGATCTGATCAAAGTAAAGGGTAAGGTTTGGGACACTAGTTTTATATATATCTCCTGGTTTTTAAGTGTGTGTCTAGACTTTTCACATGAATAAATCTATTAAATTATATATAAATTAAAATAAATTCAATAGTTTCTATTTGGATAATTTATTGTTTCTTCTTTTCTCTCTCCAGATAACAAGAGGCTTCAGTCTATTTCATGAGTCTCAACTAGACCTTTTGTTTTGAAGGACAGTTTTGTTTAGAGACCTCATTGTTTATTTTATTTGTTGTTTTGTTTATTTATTTAAATAGCCCTCCAGCTCCAATGTTAAATGTTTATTAGAATTTAAAGTTTATTCTTTGAGAAAGTATTTTGAAGGATCTATTTTTTCTGTTCAAATTAAGAAATTTTTAAGTCCCTATCATAGAATCATCCATTTGATCAGCAAAGGGATAGCAAGTACAAATTGTGCTGCTTGTAAATTTTGCACTGCAGCAGACTAAAAGAAGCCGGGTAATACAAATGGGAAAATAAATGTAATGCATCAGGGTTGTGCCAGGGTGCATCAAAGGAAGTGGTGAGGTTGGGGTTTTTTAAACCAAACCTTGTCACTGATTCATCATTCACTGTGGTCTGCCCTTGAGGTGCAAATGTAATCTGATTTGATTTCCTCACCCACCACAGCCACCTGGTGAGCATAATCATCCCTCGATGTGCTTCCTTTTCAATTGGAGCTGCAGGACTTCAAACCTTTATTATTCCAATGCCTCCTGTGGCTCTAAATTTAAGAGTAGACTTTAAGATCCTTAAAAAAACAACAAAAAAAAACTAATTCTGTTTTGTATGTTTTTGATGTCTTGAGTACCTATAATTTAAAATTTCTAACAATCACGGGAAATGATGAAAATATTTTGTTTTTTTTACATAAAGGTCTATGGATATTGTCTTTTTTTAATAAAGCCTCCTGTGCATAGATCTGTATGCTGCCTGTCCTAAAAAAAAAACCCAAAACAATTAAATAAAATCAAGTGTGAAAAATTGCATTAGTTTTTAATTTAAAAAAACATTTTTTTAGTCACTCTGATCAGCGACCCAAGAGCGACAGCACATCAACTTTCAAAAGCTCAACAATTTTTATTGCTTTAGATCTGACATCCTTAGAAGTCTCTCTCTCTCTCTCTCTCTCAGCCAGCCTTTCCCCCACCATGCTGCTTCTCTCTCCGTGCTTCACAAAAGGCCCACAGATAACCTGAGGGGATTGTGCTTTTCTTCCTTTACGCCATTCTCACTTTTTTCTCTTTCCCGTTCTTCTGAGCTCTCACTCCCCTCATGAATGCCGACTGCGATAGCTCTCTGCGCCGTTTGATCTGCCAGTCTGAAATGATGGAGGGCACAACACAGTGCTGCTCATCTCTGGAGAGAGTGTGGCTTTCACTGAGACGGGGATGTATAGCAGAAGACGACACACTCTTCCGCTTAAACACAGCGTCTTGCTAAAGCCGCCAGTGCAACAGTACTCAAGGGGATTAAGTGTATAATAAAGGTTTCAGCACTGTCTGGACAATTATGTAATTTTCTGCAGCGTGGAGAAAGAAAATAGTTTTGAAAATTACCTGTAGTCCAAGACTTCATTCCATACCCCATCCTAAATGTTGCCCTTCCTTTTTTCTTTACTTCTGTTTTTCCTTCCCGTTTCTGGGCTTTTTCTTTTTCCATCTTTCCTTATGTCTTTGGGTTCCTACACTGTAACTATGGGTTTCATTATTTTTTTTCTCCAAGAATAAAACTTTTTCCAAACAGTCTTGAGGGAAAAGTGGAGCATCCTTCTTTCAGTCAGTCGTTCTCTGGCCTCTTTAAACGGACTTCAAAAAAAAAACTGACTTAAGAATGGATAAAATATATATATTTTAAACTTTACTATAACTTTTCGTTTAACTTTCAAAAAAGCAGCAAAAGCCTATCAGGTAGCTGAATGGTGAAAAAAAAAAAGCACTGCTACAGACGTCACAGTTTTGTGTTTTTTACTCAAAGAAAATGTCACAACCCAGCATTTTTAATACGGGAAGGACATTAGCAAACACAGTAATAATCCTCTGGCTGGTTCTTAATCATATGTTCCATTAGGCTGCTTCTGATTGTCAGTGTTTTTAGGATGTAAACAGCGTGCTGGAGCAGAAAGTGGCACCTACTGAGAGAAAGATGGTGATTACAGTAATCAAGACTTTTTCAGCGAGGAAAGCAGAAGACAGAAATTAGGAAACAAGATGAACTGTCACACTCCAACTCAGACAAGTGAGGAGAAGATATTATAATATTTGATAATGTCTGAGCTCATGAGTTGGCATATGCATATTTCATAAGATGCCATGTGGGAGGAGGACACTCTTGTGTGTATAACATGCACTGAGCTGAGGACCATGATTTTTTTTTTATCCCTGCTTAAAGGTGCAATGTTATGTAAAATAATATTTTTGAGCTTTACATCATTATAATTCTCACATCAAAAACATTCCTGGATTGTGTGTTTGATTCTTTCTTTCATGCTTGAGAAATCCTGTAATAATATCCCATTGCAACCATTAAGCTGTGCAAAACGCCTGAGTAGATCTAGCTCCGCCTTCGAGGATGCAGTTCCTCCTCCCAGCTCCTTCAGACTAGCCAGCAGCAATTAGCAAACACCTGGTGGAACTGCACATCTTTGAGCTCATTGTAAGACTACTTCTCAATGCAACGCTGGTAAAAGCATTGCTAAAGGGCTAATAGAGGAACCATGTTCTGATGACTACCTGAAGAAGAACTTTCTGAAAGAGCAGGAGTTTTTAAAGAGACAGACACACAATTTCAAGGTGTGCAAAAAACACACCTACCTGAAGACAAACTTTCTGAAAGAGTAGGAGTTTTTAAAGAGACAGACACACAATTTCAAGGTGTGATATTATGAAGTCAAACTCCTTTTAAGCCGTATTTTAATCTGATCTAAAAAAAAAAAAAAAAAAAAAAAAACTCCTTAGGCTTGGTTTTGTAAGCAAGTGTTGAACGGCACCACTTGCAGCCTGTTTCCTCCACACTTTGACTTTGTGGATCTTGTTCGGACTGGGCCTGATGGGATCTTCCCCATCCCCTCCACCACCGTCCCTCCACCCCCCCTGCAGTTGTGGTCGGTACCAGGCTTGGTAATTGATCCCTCTGGGCCCTGCAGATGGATCCAGCTGAGGGCTGAACAGGCTCACCACTAAGCAGACAGCTGCTCAGGCGGGCTCCCGTACCGGCTGATAGAAAGGGAGGAAGATAAAGAAACACTGTTGCCGCTAACGGTTAGCACCGTCTGCCGGCATCTTGTTCTGCAGTGAGCGAACTCAGCACTTTGCTTTGTCTTGAAGTGAACAAGTTCCCTCCGTTTTCGGGGCGGTGTTAACAGGGAGTGAAGCAAGAGGAAGGGACATGGTAAAAGTCCGTCTTTTAAAGTTCTTATCAGCAAACTGAGAGCCTGGGGGAATAATCTGCTAAGTAAGCTTAAATTTAAGCTTCTTCTGTGCAGCGAGTGGAAAAGTCCACTTTTGTGTTTCAACCAAGTGTCCACATTGCTTTGCTCCACCAAAGCAACATCAGGATGGATGAAAAGAAAGTGACTTTTCGAGCATCGATTGATGTGGAGTTCATGTTGAGAAAAGAACTTTTGAGGGTTGAAGCATAATTCAACATGTCAGAGTGTCGGCGCTGCAGTTTTTGCCAGAAGCTCTTAAAATGTTGCTATTTATCTAAATGTTGTATTTAACCTCTATTCAAAAGCCTTTATGTTTCTACTGAGACTGAAAATGAATAGTAGCTCAAGAAAGGCAAGCGGTGTTTGCACCAGTCATACACAACTTAATTTAAATAGAGGTAATAAAAATCCTATTAACAACAAAAATTAAATGAAAAGAGCAATAAGTTAATACATTTATGCATTATGTTGTGTTAAAATGCTGCTTTAAAAGCAACCGGAAACTTTTTTTTTTTTTTATTTAAGTGAGTTGACAGTTTCCAGACATCTCAGGTTTCCGGGGAGTTGCTTCCATTTTGGCGAAAGCGGCACCTGATTGATTTTCCATAGATCTATAATGACACAAATACAATAATAAAATAATTCACTAGTTTTTTTAATGTGCTCTACATAATTGGAAACCCTATTGTGATCATGAGTTTTAAGGCAAAGTTGTTATAGTTGAGTTCTGTGTTCATATCCACACCAAGTATTTTTCATTCTCTATGGAGCTTATTGTATTTAAAGAATTTCAACAAAGACAAAAAAAAAACTTTTTTACCAATTTTATGTCAGTCCATCTCTATGTTCTATTGTCGTTTATTGGATTAGTTATAAGTGTGAGAAAAAACTTTCTTTCTAAACTTTCTACTCCCAAATTCTGGAGGTAATCTCCGATAAACCAGAACAACATATAACTAATCTTTCTATACTAACTCCATAGATATTTCAAGAACAACAATAGTTTCCTTTTTGAATGCTGCATATCAACATTTTAACAAAGCCAGAGCTGCACTATTTGACTCAACTAGCCCAGAACAGCCAGTTTCCCTTCTCAGTAAATTGTTAGTGGTGGTGTTGATGGGGGATGAGACTGTCTAAATTTGAGAAAAAAAAAATAACCATCGCCCCTTTCCCCTCTTCCTCTCTTCATTCAGGCTCTATGACGCGACAAGAGTTCCCCTCGACATTCTTGCACTATGGAGAGCAATGACGACCCTTTGACAGACAGCCAAAACCCACCAACCAACACCACCACCCACCAACACAACAGCAACTCCACCCTAACCCTGGTCGCAGAGCACCAAGGGCTTCTTTGACGCAACAAGGTACAATAAAAACCCTCATGATTTTTATTTTAAAGTCAGCTCATTTAAATCAGTGACCAGGCAGAATTAGGTCGTTGCAAGTAATAAAAGTTGTAAAGTGAAAGTAAAATGATACATTTCTGCATTTGAACTTCTGGTGTTGAAGTCATTTTAATTTTGAGTCGTATCAAAGATTTTGAATGTTGTCAAGGGCCAACTGGTTGTTGTCAACATTAACAACCTGGTAAAATATTACTGGTTAAATCTCTGCACTCCAGAAGTTCTTCTTAAAAATTAATAAAGCTGATTATCTTTTCACATCAATCAGTCCCTCCAGAATTTTGTAATTCAAATTTTTTCCCTTTTACAGTCAAATTCACAGAAGTTGTAGAGCTAATTTAAAAATATTTGCAAGGATAAGCATTGCTTGTTTTATTTTATATTTGTTTACACCAGTCACAGTATAAACTAAGCTAGGTTTATAGTTGTCTCGTTGCACACAAATTGGCCTGTCCTTGCACCTGCCTGTTGGCCTCACGCTATTATTTCCAAATCATGATGTCTGCTCATGTACCGCTGAATTTTTTCAACTTTTAACACAAAAACATGGTGGATTGTTGTTGGAATGGACCAGCACCCTTAGGGCATAGCAGGTTTTCCAGGGAAAACCTTGAACACGACCTCAATTAAGACTGAGGAAGCAGTGTAGTAGAGGTCAGAAATACTGCCACCTGCAGGAGGGAAAACAAACTCGCATGCAACTGAAAATTCTCGCACTTATTTTCATTCATCACGCTATTATTTGATTTATTGTGTTTTATCGCAATAAACTCTAATTAATGTATTGAACAGCTGACCAAATATTGCTTTAAATTTCTCCACCACTTTATTCCTTACCTGTTTGCTGTGTTACTTTTTCTTCATGATGCTTTTTGTTCAGTCGGCCGCTGCAGCTCTGGAGGGAATTGCTTGCATGAAAGTTTTTGAATTTAAATAGTAAAAAAAATAAAAATCATCTGTAAAGCATGTATATTTTTTCCACTCTATAGACATGATAGATACATTTACGAGGCACTTTATTCATAGGGATGTGTTTATAGCCTTATCCTAAAAGCTTAGAAAGACGTACGACATCAAGCACACCAGCAGTGTTTGCTTGGTTGTTTTTTTGGCTTCCTCATTTTCTCTTGTGTATGTTTAGCCACTGAAAATCCATGTGTGCTGCAAATCCAATAACGCTCTCCCCTTCCTGCCCCCCAACTTTTATAGGCACACCTTATATTTTCCCTTACAATTGCCTCGCTGCGACAGGTTGCATCCGGCTGACAAACAACGCAGGGCGCCAGACAGACCGGGATATTAATACATGCGACTGGGAAATAGAGAGTAGCCGCGCTGTAAATTTAACATGCGGCACAATAAAAGGGTTGAGGCCGAAGTCGTAAAGATGGCCGCCCTCACTGAGAAAGCCAGCCTCGTCTGTTGAGTCAATACTGTCGCCATTTACGGCCGGCGCTATGATTTGCTTTTAAAGCAAAGATTTGATCCTGCTGCTTTTGGGTCCAGACGAGTGTGTCCACAGCAGATGCCAGACTATATTTAGACACGGCGCTCGATTCCTGTTGTCGACTCTCACAGCTGTAGAGCACAGCTCTGTTTACTCAGGCTGGCTAGAAGCATTTGGTCTTTTAATTGAGTATCAGGAAAGAGCATGGCAGCGTAAAACTCTGTGTTTACGCTGCCATGCAAAAGTATTCCTTGCTGTTAATATGTTCCGCATTTTATGTATTTTGTTGGGATTTTATGTAAGAGAAATAATTTGTTTTTTGACAATTTTCATGAATAAAATGTTAAAATGTTCACCCTGCACCCAACCCCTTTCAATCTGACACCCCTAAATAAAATCCAGTGTTGAGTTGATGTTTACTCTACTAAGTTGTTAGTGACATAGCCTAATTAGATTTTTGCTGGAGTAATTTAAGTCAGACTGTTCTATGAAGTATTAACTCAGAAGGGCTTAAAAAAATAAAATAAAATAAAAAAACTCATCCATCATTATACTTCCTTTTTGCATTTTCTGTTGGTCCTCCTGAGTTGATCTTATGTCTAAAAACCCAAAAACATTTGTCATTGTAACAAGGTAAAATGTGAAACAGATTGCAAGATGTAATTTTTTTTTTTTTTCAAGCTGGAACCTTTGTAACCACTTCTCAGTCCACTGACATGAAATTTTGCTTCAAAACACAATCTAATAGGACGGTGGAGAAGACGCACATTGTGTGCACCATCACTGGAGATATTCAAGCTTAAAATACAACTTTATTCTGTTAATTTATTGACTGATAATCTGATGCCCACATCAAAGTAGCAACAGCTAATTTGCAACACCTGATCCGAGAAGGACCTTTGACCTTTGACAGTTACTTTGAATGAAAATTTAAGATGAATATTAAATACAATAAAATAACCATGTTACAAAACAATGTTATTTAAAACTGAAATATCCCTCATTGCTTAATGTCAGCATCTGCAGTTCACATTTCTAAAGAAGTGTTTTTTTTTAAAGATAAATAATTGGTTAAAATTGGAAGCTGAATAGACGCAGTTGCACTTTGCACCAATCTGAATAACAGATTAAAATGTATAAATATAATTTAGCAAAAGAAAGCCTCTCATTTAACGAATGTATGATTTTTGATTAAAATGCAATTAATTACTGACCCTTCAGTTTACTACATTTTTTAAATATGTTTAACATGTCCAAGAAGTTATTTCGTGTCCTAAACAAATGAGTGCCATTCTGTTGCGACTTGTCACCAGGAGTAAATCTGCCCCTCCTGAGAATTGAGTCCTGATCCTATTGTCGACTGCACATAGTGAAATGTGTTTACTTTGATGTTCTGAGGAAATACGCTATGAAAGGCCTGATAATGACATAACACCCCCGATAGCTTTGAACTCCCCTGTCCTAATGTGAGACGGGGACTGGCGTCTGGAGGCCCGTGCATACATGTTCATGGATTTTGATCTCGGCATCTGCTTCAGGCATTACCCCAACATCACAGCATGTAATGAGCAATTTCCCGTCCCTTATTAACCTGTGGATCGTTCCTAACCTACTTGTTCTCTTATGAATATTCATCCGGAAAACTACATTGTGTGAGCAAGACGGAGAATGCAGCGCAAAAAGACATGGGACATAAAACAAGGAGAGGTTTGCACCAAGCCGAACGAGGCGATGGAAAAAGCAAGGTCAGATTTGTCCAACTAAAGATTGTACAAAATCCTTTCGTCATTCGGCTGTTGCATTATTCACGTCCAACAAGGACGGATGCTTTGGAGAGCCGATGTAGATTTGTTGTCTTTGAAGTGTGTCCATTCACACTTTCACCGTGGGTCTCGGCACAGTGACATTTTGAAAGGGAGTCAGGAAGAGTTCACACAGAAAATGTCAACCCAGAACTGTCATATTTGCACATTTTCACTCCTTGAACTCCCGTCAACATCTATGTTGTGCGAGTCCATTTTCCATCCGCTTGCAAACATATTCCCTCAGAACAACTGCAGGTGCATTAAGGTATTCACATTTCCATGTGAAATGATCTCTAAGTATCATAGCTGAAACTGAATGTCTTCCTCGTCATCAAACTAATCCTCCCAGGCAAGTATTGATACGAATCGAGTGAGCTGTTTGGCCGCTCCGAAACAAGAGAACAAAAGAAAATTGAATGTTAACACAGATGAATTTTGTTTGTCATATTCCCCAAAGAATCCTCCAGCAGTTATGGATCTGAATTACCAGTTTCATTTGCTGTCACATGGATGTATCAAGTTGCTTTGTCCCAGGGTGTTTCTGTTTTAGTGTGGTCAATTTGGCTCATACACCTAGATATTGCCATTTTGTCAATTCTGATCAGATTGTAAAAATCCGTGGACTCTTAGGGTGATAAAAAATTTATTTGACGTAGGTCTTTTTTTTTTTTGTTTCTTACAAAATCAAGGACATACCTTTAGGGCCATTTGGTCTGCTGATCTTTGAGGGTGAGGGTTCTTCTAATCATAATTTTAAAAAAATGAACATCTGATGAGCCTCCACAAACTCTTACTTCAGGCATCTTATTTAAATTTAATTTAACTTTTAATTTTGTATGAACTTTGCACTTGCTCTTAATAGAGCGCCTATATTTTCCTAAAATGAGATTAAGCTATGGTAATAACAGTAAACTATTCAATACAGTGTGTATGTGAACAAAAAAAATCATAGAAAACTTACCATACTCTCTAACATTTGCAGTTATTCTGCCTCTGTTTTTTCTCCATTTGTGTCATTTAAATGTTCAAACACTGTGGCATCAAATACTTTCCTGGCCAAGCAGTTTACTGTCATGACTTTGCTTTTACCTTTAATGATTTGGCTCATTTGATGTCCAGGTCCAACAAAACCATGACATTATCTCCAATAAACCGGGAGTCAGCGGGATGTTTAATATTCCCAAAGCATAAGACATTGTCATCTGTGATACATGATAGTACTCTATTCAACACCTGCCTCTTTCATGGCAAATTGCACCCTGTGAAATCGTCAAGAGTTTATTATTATGAATTAGGCTTCAGTGGTGCTGCGGCGCTCCTGGAAGGCATCGGTGCCTCTATCAAGTTAACTGTGTGACTGGCAGTGGCCAGATGGTGAGGAGGCTGCTGGAAGAAACTCTCTGTTGTAGATTATGTTTTCCGCACGGTCTCTGCACTGTTACTAACTGCTTTTATTAGCTTCCACTCACTAAATATGTCTAAATATTTGATTTGCAAAACACTCTTACAGTGCAATCAGAGGGCCGTAATTAACATCCTCATTTGCACGGGAACAATGGAGAAATGTGATTTTCATGACAAGGGACCGCACGGAGCAAAAGAAACCTCTTTGTTTCCTAGATAAGTGTTGGAGAAAAGAAAAAAGAAACAATATGGCATTTATATAAATGATTTATATAAATAAGCCCCTATTTTGTAGATTTACATTTTATTTTGCCACATTTTTTTCCAAACGTAAATGTAAAATGCAGTTCATTTTGAAAATGTTCTTTTTTCATAATTTTTACTTTAAATTTTCCTAAGAACATTTCTTAAAAGAGAAGAGGTTTCTCTCTTCTTGTGGATTCTCGAGATTAACTTGAAAAAAACCATTGGGAAATTCCAGTATCTTCATACCCATGCATTGTACGGAAGCTGAGAGCGTACGTTTTCCGCATACGCATTTTGCCAATGGCGATATCGAGATGATTTCCTGATGGTTTCGTCACTATGACGAGCTGATCTCGAAGAAACCTTTGGATTTTCAAGATGAACTCATGATCTTGACAAAACCATCGGGAAATGAACTCGTTATCTTGAGAAATTAGCCCACCTGGAGAAACCAATTGGAAAAACTTATTTGGAGAAAATTAAGACGTTACCTCGAGAGAAAGCATAGGCGGAGAACATCCGCTCTCTGCTTCCATCGCAACCTCATTTCATTCCAAACATTTCATACGTGTAAACGATCTTCCCATTTTTTTCCCATAGAGCATAATTTTGATTCTCTAGTTTTGCCATTGAAGAATTTAAAATATTTGCTTGTAGTCTAAATGTAAAGTTGGAGATGGGTAGAAAGAGCAAAATGTGATGCAAGTTTCTTTGTAGGCTGGTATGAAATGTCAGTAAGTTGACACAATAAGCAATAAGCTCAAAACATCCTTTGTTTCTATATGTTGCCATTTTGTCTCATCCCACAAAAAGTAACCAGGCCTCACCACTTGGTCTAGTTACACCAGAACTTGTTCATACCACTCTAATACCTGTAAAGTGAACAATTTCTCATAATACAAATTTTGATTTGTTGTCTTTATAAATTTCCGATAATATTTCAAAAACTTACTTTCTATTGCCAAAAAGAAATTGAATTATTTCCTCATGGTGTCAGGGGCCATTTTTTCACTAATTTGTACTCAAGAGAGTGGAAAGGAGAACTGTTGGTCCTAAACGGAAATCCATGAGGCCTTTTGGAAATCCACTGTTGACTCCAACACCATCTGTTCCCACACGACGCTAACAGATCAGACGATGGATCATGAGTCAGACTGGCAACGGGTTTGCTGGAAGGAAATACAAATGGCAGCATTTTGTTTTGTAAACAGAATAATTAATAGGCTAAGGATAACGACCCGGACAATGCAGCTCTGTCTGAAGGTTAAAAATAATAAGCAGCACATTGAGTGATGTTTTTTTGAATTATTATTATTTTGACCAAAACAAAAATTGCATTATTGTGGGGAAATTAAAAGTTGATTTTTGGTTGTTTTTAAGAATAAAAATCAAGAGTCAAAGATGTCATTAGACTTCCAGTTGTCTTTTGAGGGAATGTCACTTTGTCCATCTAGACTAATATTTTTTTGCTTAATCTTCGGAAAATATCTCAAACTCAGATTGAGTAGCGCGTCTGCAGATTTCAATTTTCTTGCGCCAAACAAATGTTTATTAGTTCAGGAATTTGACAAGCGTTTATCAAATCTATATGAAACTGTCTCAGTCATAAGTCTTTTGTAACCTTCATCTACACACTTTGAACTACTTTTTTGCTTAAAGACATGCCATACAAACAAAACTTTATAGTTGTTTATATAGACCAAATAAAAAGAACTTTCTGAACTTAAATCGCACCAAATTGACCCAAGTTATAAAATGCAGTTATTCAAATATATGTAGACTTTAGTTCTTGCAAAGTTTTTCAGCACATGGCAAATAGAAATAGTTTTTGTAATTTTAACTAAATTAAATCAAGCGTGATCTGATTTAATGTGAGGTGTTTCTGACAGTGAGAAGAAAAATAAATCATTGTCTGGTTTCAACAGTATTTTCACTCCCAAAAATGAGCATCCCAACATCCCGCGTCACAGTGGAGATGGTGCATTCAGGGCGAGGAGTTGTGTTAGTTTTCTGCCAAAGGGCAGGTTGGTTCCGTCTGGTCTGAGCGTCTTGTTTTGCAGGTTTGGCTGACATGTTTTGTGGCTTTCTTTCAGCTACTGCATTACAAAAGTCAGATTTAATAGTCGTTGTCCTCTCCCTGTGAACCTTTGCAGCTTCTCAAAAGTTTCAACAGTCTCTCTGTGCTGAAGAAAATCAAGGTTTGACCATCACAGGCCACAATGGTAGCGGTGTTTTCACAAAGTGCGGTGTTTGTTACAAACCTCTGACTTTTGAAGTTTAAAGTGTTAAAAAGGTCTGAATTTCTCTGCTGGGCACTATTGGAGGCCTACTTGCTTTGTTTTGCTTCTACATTTCTTGTCTCCTGTTACAAACTGACATGTTTTAAACTATAAAGCGAGAAGAAACACCTACTGCCATATAAAACGAGAAACATTTCATTTTTAGCAAAACAAACAGAAAGATAGCGGCGCATCCCTGTAGAGTTGCGAATACAAACACGCAGTAGAAATGAAAATGCAAATAAGTTGCCACATAAATGCTTGGAGATGTTTCTTTTGTGAGGTGAAAAAGCTCATTTATTTTTCTCTTGTGTGTTTTCAGGTGTCATAATACAACCAGAGGTGTCAAAAACGGGAGTGACAGACAAAGGGAGTTTGCGCTCCTGAGGGGTTTCGGACAAACTCACTATGAAAACACTTCCCACCTCCTGTGACTCACGCCTGCGGGTCTCCGACCGCTCCCTCACGCCGTCTGTCACCGGGTCAGCGCCTTCCTCCTCGTCAATGCATCTGCCTGTTCGATGAAAAACTTTTATTACACCGCAGAGGACCGGACACCTTAAAATGCTTTTTTCGTTTCTTTTTTTTTTGGTCATTGGAAGTCCCAATTTGTAAGGAGCTGCTCGCTGCATTTTCAAAACAAAAGAAAAACAACGACAAAAAAACAAAAACAAAAGGGATTCCCCCACCACCAAACACCATCGCCACCTCGGGAGTTTCCACAGCACAGCTGGGATCATTACAGACCGAACCCTGTTGCTTCAGACCACTCGATGAGGCCGTAAAAACCAAACTGTGCGCTCTCTGCTGTGAATAGGCCTTCTGCTGGAGTCAAACTCCTTTATTTTTATAGACCAAAGAGCAAAACGACAACAAATATGACCGTTCGAACAAGAGGTGGCGAAAGAAACGTATTCCTCTTGGGAGGGAGGGGTTGCTACAAAATCTCTCTACGCGAACAATCGAATCGATGGAGTCCTTTTAAAACCTTCTGGACTTTTTTCTTTTTCTTCAGACTGAAGCCCACAACTTGTATTTTGGAACTGGAACTATAGGTACTGCATACGTATAACTATGTATCAACAACAACAAAAAAGAAAGAAAGAAAAAAAAAATCTAATTTGTGATTTTTCAGTAGCTATGGTTTTCGGACAGAATCGTGTCGAAGGAAATGCTCCACGTCTACAGGAGGGTACGGACGGATGCGGTCGAGTCGGAACGGGAAGAGCAAAGAATTGCCATTAAATGTATTTTGAAAGGCCCTTAAAAAGTTATATATTTAACAATTTTATATGTTGTACCTTTGTAGAGAAGCTTATTGGACTTAAATGTGGTCACAATATGGCAGTTTAGTAGAACGTGAACAAACGCTGTTCTCATTACTGCTGGCTCGTAGTCTATGGTTTTTCTGTTCACACCTCGGTAGCTGCTTTCTTTTCATGGTCATCCACAAGTCACAGTCTTATTAGAACCATTAACAACGAGGAAAAAAAAAAACAAAAAGAAAAAAAAACAGGAGAGCGACACAATTTCTTGAGGACTGATGTGCAGCCAACAGAACATTGTAAATCTATGGTAGTGAGTGGACGCCATTGAAATCTGCTAATTTGCTATGATATTGTATTGTACACGATGTGGAATACTGATTCATTTCCCCCTCAACGGGTTTTGATCTCTTAATTTATTTTGGTGCTTGTGTTCGTTCGCACAAATCCAGCCTCTCTCCGTTGGCAATCCGGACAATGAAGGAAGCAGAGAGGAGCGAAAGAAAGCACCGCAAACATAGTCATATAAATACATTTTTTATCATGGAATATTTTAAGAATAAATTAAATACATGGAAAACAAAAAGAAAGCAACGTGCAGGTGGTTTCGGTGGTGGGAGGTCTGAATGTGTGTTTCATTTATTTTGCAGGTTTTCAGGTATTTGTGCAAACAGAATGAAGACCTGGGCGGTTCATCTTTTTTTTTTCAGCTCTCGTAAGACAGCTGAATATGTCAGCGTTTTCTAATTATTAGAATCTATGACTTTTTTATGACATCTTACAGTCATAAAAAGCACTGCACCATGAAAGGAAATGGCACAAAAAACTGAAGACGACACCAAATGCAACTCAAAGTTTAGTTTCTATTTTGTCTTTGGTGAAACAGCCCAACCTATTTGCACAGTTAGACTCATTCAATTGTTTTGGTTGTATTTACCCAGAATGCACTGCGCTATAGTCTACCTCCCAATTATGGAGCCATCTCTGGTCAGAAGAGTCAAAGTTCACGTCAACCAAATGGTTTTTAGGTGCATCAGAGTTTGATCTCAGTCACACCTTCTCAAAGAAATGGGATGTTCTGGGCCTTTTATGGAAAACAAAGTTTTCTTTTCACTGCAGCAATATCACAGTGGATGGTTTTATCAAGGACAGAAACTGATCAACAGTTGAGCCCTGGACCAGAATTACTTTCCATACCAAACAGTAAACAATATTATCAATGAATCCAGGTAGGAAAAAAAAATATCTGGGTGGAATTGAACTGTTTTTATTTGATTTCTTAATTCTGCAGAAAAAAATGATGCAAACCACTTTAGCATAGTAAACGTTGACTACAATTTTTATCTAGGTCACAGGATTATAAAACAAGGTCTTCATTAGACATCTTTTGTTATATTTGATCTGAAAACATAACAAAAATGAGTCAATAGAAGAAGTAGAAGTAAATGTAGAGCGCTGCAGCAAACATTTTGATACATCATGTTGTCTGAATCATTTATCTGATTCAGTTTTACCCCGTTACCACAGAGCTGATTGAAATATTCAGTTGAAGACGATATAAACTTTGCAGTCGTGGAAGTTATTATCTTTATTTCTCAACCGATTGCTTGGTGCTGTAGGAATTTTTTTAATAAATGAGACTGAACTCTAATTATCTGCACGATATGGTTGAGGATTATCTGACAGTGTTCACCGTTCTGCCGTTTCATCTTCTAATCTGATAAGGACAGATCATCGTGGGGTTCCTTCATTATCTGCATCCATGTTTTTAAAAGAGACCTGCAGAGTGTGAATATCGGGGTAGATTTCAAAGATTGGAGCTCCTTCTCACTTCTCTTTGAAAAATTGTTCTCCCTCTTACTGACTTCTTCCATTTCTCCTTTTTTGTCACAATTAAACCTCTCAGATAAACTAATTAAATCTCAGGGCAAAAACAACCTGAGTAAAAGCGCATTTGCAGTTCTGATTGTGCCCTGCTGTCTGAGTCCGGATAGTTAAAGGTTCTGGTGAGCAGAGCCTGCATTCAGCCCAGAGGAGAAAAGATCCTGCCTCTGCTTTCAGGTCAGATAAATCTCTGAAATACCAATACTGCGTCGCGCTGCACAAAATATTATTTCCTTTGATGGATAACATTTACCTGCTAATTCACATCTCACACTGCGAGTCTTTGTTTACAATACAAATCTGATTAAGTGCAGCCATCACGGCTCAAGTTGGATCGATACACAATACGGCCAACACAGCTGCTTGCCTCACTAGGATGCTTTTGCAGCGCCAATATTTTCAGCCTATAAAACAGTTCAGATTCTCTCAGCATGGCTGGCGATCTGTGAGCTTCAGGACGGCAGGAGAACAAACACCGACTCAGTGGGTGACATGTTTGCAACTTTAGAAAAAAAAGAAGAAATTCAAGCACTTTTTCATTTTCCATATTGCTATTCGCCAAATTAGCAATATTTTTGAACACCTCACACCTTTTGAGTACGGTTGTCTGCTCTCTTTGAGTCTGTCGCTGGGCTTCATTGCTGACATCATGCTGTCATTGGAGCTACTTTTCAACGCCACACAGTTTGCATCGTTTTAGCTCATTTTCAACATGCTCTCTGTAGTTTGGCATCATTTGAGTCGTCATTTATTTTTTTATACAGTTTCCGCATCATTTGAGCTCATTTGTGACGTGCTATATACTTTGTCTCTTGCTCATTTTCAACATCATATGTGACATTTTATGTCACTGTCGACATCATGCTATACTGTGTGTCATCTGGCTTCATTTTCAACCTCATACTTTGTACCTCATTTTTGATGTTATTTCATGTTGCACAATTTTTTTAAGTAAGCTTAAGAAAAGCTTAATTAAAGCTTTTTAAGTTGACATTCTTTTGGTTGTGTGGCATTTTACATGAATTACTTTGACATTTAATTAATTTTATACATTATACTGTGTCATTTGACCTAAATTTTTACTTTATGCTGTATAATTTTCAAAGTATTGTTTACCTCATTTAGCACAGAATGGCATGAACAACGAGGAGTCATTTTATACTATACAAAATGCATTTGGGCTCATTTTCAACATCATGCCATCCTGTCATTTTACTTGATTTTCAACTTTTGTACATCATACATATTATACTATTTAAAATATGTATGATGTCAAAATTAGGGCCAAATGACATGATCTTTAAAATGAGGCAAAATGACAAATAGTATATAGCCTGACCTCTGAAATGAGACATGATATAAATACTGTGTCATTTGGCCTCAAAACCAGGTCATATGACCTGGTTTTAGAGGTGATACTATTCTGTCATTTTTGACATCATACTATACTTTGTGTCATTTTGTTCCATTTCAGAGGTAATGTGTGATATCACTGTGGAATGAGGTAGAATTCTGCAGTACACTTTGACATGAGAAATGAGGCCAAATAACATAGTGTAGCGTTTCTTCTAAAATGAGGTAAACAGCAGTACACAATGACGTTGAAATTGAGGTACAATTACATAAATGAGGCAAAAACATACATAGCACAGTGTGAAACTGAAAATGAAGTCTAGCATGACTTCTAGAATGTGGTAAAATGACACATGAAGTTGAAAATTAGGTAAAATGTCACAGTATTCTATGAAATATGACATTCAAAATGGGCAAAAATGACAAAGTATAAAATAAATTGATGTAGAAAATGACATCAGAAATGAGCTCAAATGAGACATACGACAGCATGATATTGCCGTCACTGTAGCATGTCGGTATACTTACTTGAGCTCATTTTCAAGGACCGAAAACCTCAATTGACGTGACCTTAGTGGAAATTCTTGTCCAGCCTATGGCGAGTTTTCCTCCAGGATTCCAGGACCCCACAGGATGATGCTGCCTTCAATTTGAAAAAAAAATAAAAAATCATACTCAACATTCTGCATTTAGGCTAGAAAGTTACATTTTGGTGAAACATTAAAACTCTCAAGAGGTTTGAAAGCTGGTCAAACTTTAGAGCTTCGAGTCTGAACTCAGCCTCTGCTCCCTCTGATGACTCTCTCGGTGGTAGATAGCTCATTGTCAGCTGGGTGTTCAAGCTCCATTTAACTCTAACTAAGTGCCTTTAGTCATTATTGCTGCTCATTAATGCTGCAGTGGTGCTGGAGAGCCTCCCTGGGAGCGTCTGCATGAGACAGCTGGATCAAACAGAAGAGTTTCTCCTTGCAGGACTCTCCACTTCTGTTTGCTAGTTTATAGGTAAATAATTAATAGCACAGACCTAATCCTAATAGTCTGTTACATTGAGTTTATTTGCTATTATAAATCCTCATTAAAATGCAGACACCTGTAATCATCTTAATAGCTAGTGTTTATTTTTGTCTGAACAGGGTATAAACAAATCTTTGAAGCAGCAGAACAGGTCTTTAATGCCAGCGGCTCCCAACAGGGGGTGCACCAGGGTTTTTTTGTGTGTGTGTGTGTTTTTTCTCCTGCAGCTACCTAGGGAGGTTATATGGAGGGCCCTTACTAATAAACTCAACAAACCCAATTACATAGAAAGTGCCATTTCAAGTAGTCATTTAATTTTTAAACGGGCACAACCACAGAGAGGAGGAAAATAAACAAACCCATGCAACAGCATTCAAACTGCTCATTAACCTGCAGGTGCGACTGAATCAGGGGATTAAATGTAAAAGCTGAATAAGCTCATTAAAGGTAAACTTGGTGAGAAATGGAAACAGGTTTTCAGACATTTGCTAGCATTTCCCCCAAGAAGTGTGTCGTCAGCCAAAGTATCTGAAGAACCAATGGTCTGAACTGACTGCGAAACGACTCTTAAAAAAACAGAAAAATGGAAAAAAGGGGGGAAAAAAGGAGTCGAAGGATTCTTAAAGGTCACTCACTGTACATAATATAGAGCAAAAATCACATTGTAGGCTATATTTTTATGAAGAACTTTTGAGCAAACAGTTCTGTAACTATTTGAAATAAATATAAGAAATGTCAGGTGGAGTTTAAGTTTAGTTTGAAATGTTTATAAGGCAACCTTAAAAATATAATTTACATGTTATATAAGACACAAGATAGATTTAAAAAAAAAAAAGATCAACAGAGATGCACAATTAAGTAAATTTGCAATTCTGCACCAAAACCAATGTTTTTTTTGTTTGTTTTTTTTTTGTTGTTGTTGCATTTGCTAAAATGACATTCAGGGGTTTATCAAGTAAAAAATTATTATTATCAATCAGTTTTCATTTCCCAGTGAGGCATTCTGAACACTTGATTGTTCATATTTTTTCTCTCCAAAGTATCAAATATTTTCCTTCATTTCATACACAGTTAAAATCAAAGGGAAAATGACCATCTTTCTTTCTCTTCCAACCTTCATATTGAGCTTCCTAAATCTTCAAGTCTTTTCCAAAAAATTATTTGAACAACACAGGAGGAATATTTTTCTTTGAATGAAATACAAGTTTACTCTCATTCTATGGGAGATCAAGGTTCTCGGAAGTGTGCCATGTAAGAGCGGGCGTGCGACGAGCGGAGACCCAGCCAAACACACTGGACCACTAAATGAGTGAAATGACCAGCTTTCACCAGCTCTTTAAAAAACTCATTTACATCCTGTCAGATTTCATTATGGCCAGCGGGCTGCCGTGGTGCAGCAGGACGGGACTTAGCCCGAGAGCACTGACTGTGCCGGCCAAGCTCCTATCTGCCCGACCCGCCTCACTGGTCCAATAAGCAGGTGATTCTCCTGTGTCAAGGGCTTTGGCTCCTGTTCAGTCCTCACTACTTTGCTGCTGCAACTTTTGGGGAGCCATTGGCCACGATAAAACCTAGTATTTTTAAGAATCTGGGAAATTGCCTTCTGTCCAAAGAACTGCAAAGATTACGTAAAACGAAGACGGTCTGGAAACTGCATACGCCCTGGCTAAAAATAAAACCATGATGAATCGCTTCAAGCCTCTTATTTGCCTTTGAAATAGCACGTTTCCTCTTAAATTCAATGGAAAAGCAAATCAGTCGAAGATGACGTTACGATTGAAACGATCCAATAATGTTGGATCAACAAACAGCATTCAATTCAATTTATCCAATAAAACTGTTCTGTGTTTGTAGAATCTTCTTAGGTCATTTGCATCTTTTAGCAATTTGTACAATGCATCAGTCAGAAGAAGGTGATTAAAAAATACAGAACTTTAGGTACATATAATGCAAAAGAGCAGAGGTTTTAAAACTAATGTTTATGAGTAATTAAGCCAACCACTAATCATGTATATCAGTAGTCGATACTCATGTCTATCTGTATTCATTATCTATATTCATTTGTCATGATTATAAATGAGAATTATTCAATGTAAATTATAATTTCAAAAATTTAAATGAGTGACCACAAGACACTTTCAACACTCAGGTGTTTCTAGAGAGCAGAAGAGGGATTTTGCTTATTTTTATATCACTGTGTGTCCAAAAAACATCAACATCTAGAAAAAAAAACAAAGAAAAACATTTTCCTGATAGGAATATTAGTTTTGGATTTATCTACCAATATTGAGAACCACATTTGATGGAAAGTCTGGAAAACAACAGATCCCCTCTATAACGAACCTGAGAGTCTGTTGGAGCAAAGAATAAAGGCAACAGCTGAAATCAACTCAACTTTAACAAAGTATTCATTCCCACTTGTGTAACTGGGCTTTTTCTTCTTCCTTTGAATGATTGCAGAAGGAAAAGGACACATTATATGTCAAAAACGTTTCACTTTGTTACATCACAGAAACCTGGCATTATAATGGGAGTGTGGACACTTTTAGCTTTGTTTCTTGTGTCGTCCTTCGGGTCCTACAATTGAAAAATCCACTTTGATTTCTTGATTAACTTCTTTTTTTAATACCTTGAGTTTTTATTTCAAAAACTCAAATTTAACTTTAGCCAAGAAAGAAAAACTAAGGTGTGATTTTTAGCAGGTTAACATCTATAAGAGATTTTTGGGGGATTTTCCTCTCTGGTAGAGATTGGTCATGCAGAATTTTCTAAAGTTAATGAATATATTAGTATATTGCAGATCTGACTATAAAAACCCAAGTGACTAAAGTCAACAAAGACCACCAAGTTAGAAGTGTGGTACTCTGACCGTTTCTTTTATTTGCATGGTTTGTTTTACGTAGACTGGTAAAAACCAGCCTTTTGTTCTTCGCTTTGTACAGAGGGACTGGACTGAGAAATGATTACTTCCTGGAGGCGTGGACTCTGTTGAGGTATTCAACCAACATATATATGTCAACGATGTGAAGCTTGTAGAAAATTTCCTGCGATGTAAACAAGAGACAAGAGCTGAACAATATTGGGAAGCGTGGTCAACACGGACCGAACGACTCTGTTCAATTCCTCCATCTGCTGCCATCGCTAAAGCTACAGGCAGACTCCAAATCTAAAACCTCACCCACCTCATCGCTTACAACTTCTCCAGTAGGCAAACGGCTACATGTGCTAGAGGAATCAAACACAATGGCAGAAATGTGCTGTAAAGTGAGATTAAAACTGAGTAGAATTACATACAGGATGCCCATATTTAACTGGTCTAAGTTTTAACTTGCGTATGATCTGAACATCACAAACTTTCCAGAACTACAAGCAATTTGTAGCATTTGAACCTTCTCTGTACATTGGACTCGCATCCCACAAGTGCGACTTTAAAGTCTCCAAGTGTCCTTTGGCTGCAACAGCAGTTAAACCCGCAGGGCTTTGCGGTCTGTGGTTATGCTCTAAGCTCCTTGAGAATCTCATTCCGACTCTGAGCATGTCTGCAACCCGATAATCTGACGCATGCATCAAAGCCACGGAGAGTACCTCAGCTCACACCGGGAGCTCCATCAATCCCCTCCGGCCCGTGAAAGCCGCCTTTTTCTCACACAGCTGGCCATCGAGGGTGACATCCTCGAAGAGACGACACAAACAGCGTCTAATGAATTTTTAACGACGATTGTCGGGGAACGGCGAAGGAGGAGGGGCGGGAGGCGGCGGCTGTGGGAGCGAAACCGCACGCTGAATGCATTACGGTGATTTGTTGGCTCACCTTTGAGCTGGTGTAAGAGGACTCCCGCCTCTGATCATCGGGGTGTTAAGTGCACTCTGCGGGGGAGTTTCTTGGTGCCACGTTGTGGGCCAAATGATGTTTGAAATGTTTTAATCAAATTCTGTCTGCTCATTCCACTAACAATACGTCTCGTGGGTGCGAAAACTGTGTGGCTCTGCCTCTAACAGCTCCTGGGGGAATCCTCCTGATAGAGTAAGTTTCCTAACCTCCAGTCGACAAGTTGTGTTTTTTTTTTCTCCTTGGTGACATCCCTCTATACATTTAAATGGGCCTTTATGAGAAGCAGCAGCTTGGCATGAAGTGAGGTGCTGAGTCTCAATCTGTCTTTCTGAGCAGAATGTCTTGCCGGCGTTAGGTCTCTCGTTCGTACGTGTATGTGACAGAAGGAATGTTACTTTTTTTTGCCTCGCTGTTCCAGGCACACCGTATGAAGAAGTCAGTTGCCTACATGCAGCAGAACATTATTTCTTTCTTTTGCTTTACAATAAAGATATCCTGATTGTGAGACAGGGTTGCCTCTGGCATCAACAGGTTGATTAATAAAATATGAACAGAAGACAAGTCAGCAATAGCTTGAAGATCTATAAGTTACCCTTCTTGGGTAACTTATCTGGTGATGTTGCAATCCCACTTGAGAGTAACACTCAAGCAGACGGGTCGAAGGATGTTTTCAAGGTTTAAAATGGTCTTTTGCCTCAGATCCAATGTCCATTTCAGTTTAGGTAACTGCAATGCATGTTGGAGGGCAAATAATTGTTCTCCGTTTATACTAACTTTACAAAATACATCACATTTCA